ATTAGTTTGATTTTGATTTCAGAATATTTGTTAATAGACCGTACATATATACACGCGCCGTAAGCTTGCTCTGATGCGTCAGCAAAGCCATGTAATTCTGTGTTTATACGATTATTACAAAATATATGTCTTTCAATTTTCAAGGTTTTAATAGATTTTATTTTGAAACAAAACTGTTTCCATTTATTTTCTAGTTCCGAAGGAATGGGCTCGTCCCATGATAAGTTTAATCGCCATAGGCTTTGAATTATTAACTTTGGTATGACGATAATTGGAGATAAAAAGCCCATAGGATCGTACATTTGCGCTGTTGCCGATAAAATGGATCTTTTACTAACTATTTGATTTATTTTTATATTTTTGTAGTCAAATTCAAAACTGTCTGTTACCGAATTCCAAGATATACCTAAAGTTTTAATAGTTTGTTCACCGATGTTTAAAGTTGGATTATCTGCATTTAAAAGTTTTGAATAATTAGAATTAAATTTATATAGATTGAATTTAGCTTGTTGTAAAATATTACAAAGGTTATTTTTAATAGTGAATAATTCGGATATGTTATCAGTTCCAGTTAATAAATCATCAACGTAGAAATCATTTCTGAGAATTTCGCATTCCTTTGTATAGTTAGTTATGTTTTCTCTGGCTAACTGCTCCAAACAGCGTATGGCTAAAAACGGCGCAGAAGCTGTTCCGTATGTAACTGTATTTAATTGATAAATTTTTAATTTGCTATTAGGATTGTCCCTCCAGAATATTCGTTGCATTTTTCTGTCGTTTTCGTGAACCAAAACTTGTCTGTACATTTTTTCTATATCAGCTGTAAGTACAAACGCATGTCTTCTGAATCTTAGTATAATAGAGAAAATATTGTTTTGAATTGTGGGTCCAACAAGTTGTAGTTCATTCAACGACAGGCCTGCATCGGTTTTGCAAGATGCATCGAACACTACACGCAATTTCGTTGTTAAACTGTCTGGTTTTATCACCCCGTGGTGAGGCAAATAGAAACACGCCGCGGGTTCGGAAGATTCGTTGACTTCGCTCATGTGCCCTAGTGTTATATAAGTATTCATGAAATTTTTGTATTCGTTAAATAGATTTTTGTTTGTTCGTAAACGGTTTTCAAGTGAAATAAAACGTTTAAACGCGATTTGCTTACTATTCCCTATTTTTTTTATATTGTCTGTAAACGGAATTTTAACTATAAATCTCCCGTCGTTTGCCCGCGTTGTATTGGCAACAAAATGCTGTTCGCATTGTTTTTCTGATTCGGTAAAATGTTGTATATCGCTACACGCTTCCAGTTCCCAGAATTTTTGAACTTGATTTTCTAAATTAGCCGTATGATGACATATCGTAAAAGAACTGGAATTGTTGAGAGGTACGCTGCCAGCAATAACCCACCCGAACTGTGTATTTTGCAAAATAGGTCTATTTTTTCCTAGATGAATATATCCTTTACAAAATATATTCCAAAATATTTCCGAACCTATTAAAATATCGATTTTATCGCTTTTATTAAATGTGGGATCCGCTAATTTTATATAATTTGGGATATTTAAAATATTTTTATTGAATGACACCGTCGGCAAATTATTTGTTATATTTTTTAAGATAAAGCAGGATAGATCTAATGAAAAGTTATTAATGCACGATTTTAAAGTAATTGTTGTTTTTGACTTAATTTCCGTTGAATTTTGATTTATTCCCCGGACTGACATATTTATTGATTGTTTATGTAAACCGAGTTCATTAGCAAATTTCTCCGTGATGAAATTGGATTGTGATCCCGAATCTAATAATACTCTACATGCTCTATATCTATTATTGCTATCTAATACATTAATTACTGCGGTAGATAAGATGATTTGACTTGAATCATTTTCGGTATGGCACGAAACATTTTGTGGTGCATTATTAACAGCTGGTAATTGGCTTGAGTCTATATGCAGAAGACTATGATGATTTGAATTACAAAGGCACAACGATTTAAAGAAGTACATTGATCGCTGTTGTGATTGTAACGTAAGCAATTCGTGCATAGTTTTAATTGATTTACTTTGCTTACTCTATCTTCTGGAGATAGTGTCCGAAAACCTTGACATTTGAACGGTGAATGAAATGGCTCTTTGCAAATTGGGCAAATATTTTTGTGATTAGTGGATGTAGCGTAAGACTTTGTATGTTTTGTGTAATTAGGTTTTATATCTTTAAATTTACTAGAGTTTCCGATTCTTGTTTCAGTCGGATTAATTGCTTCTAATATTGTGCAGCGTTGATTTAAAAAATTGCTAAGTTCGGAAAATGTAACTAGTTCAGAGCCTTTATTCATTAACATCTCCCACTCTTTATGAGTTTTCTTATCAATTTTAGAAATTACAAGATAATTTAATAACGCGTCCCATTGATCGACGGGTTGTTGTAACATTTTTAAGCATCTTAATGGTTATTAAACGCATCTATTAGATTACGAAGGTCTTTACCTGATTCGTTATGCATTGGCGGGTGATCAAATAATTTTTTAATATGATTGTTTACGATTATTTTCTTATTTTCGAAACGCGTTTTTAGTAAATCCCACGCAATTATATAATTATCGGCAGTTGCCGGTAGGGATTCTATAAGGCTTGCCGCCTCTCCTTTTACGCATGATTTTAAATAATAAAATTTTTGAGAATTACCGATGTTACAATCATTATGAATTAAAGAAGAAAACGAATCATAAAATTGTAGCCAATTTAAGTAAGAGCCGTCAAACTGAGGTAAATTGATTTGAGGTAGTTTTATGTTGTTCGAATTACTTGTTATAGTGGTATCATTGGAATTACTATTCGAACTAGTATCCGACTTACTTGATGCCTGACTAAGTTTAAGTAAAGTTGATAAACAACTATTATGTTTTTCAAAAAATTCATCTAACTCTATTTCTATTAAATTATTAATTTGACTTTCGTCTTCTAGCAATGCTGTTATACTAATTACGGTATTTTCAAATATTTCAAACAAAGGCTTCACATCATCGATAAGGCGTTTTATGTCTGCAATGTTTAAGTCGCAAGCAGGTAGTTCCGACATTTGCCTGCACACTTTTTCGTATTTTGTTAAACGTGTTTTAGTAACTCGCTGTTTCATTTTGAGTTTATTTAATGATTCCATTTTGACACAGATTGAATTAAAACTCTAAATATTAAAATAAGGAAAGATTGATAGGAAGGAATGCTTGACTAACCTGATATACTCGCTGCTTGCTCGCTCGTAGGTGTAGCGCCAAAGTTAGAACTTCCTGTCTTGTTTAGAACTTTCACTTTATTTAATTTTTGATTTAGATTTAAGATTTTAATTATTTTCTTCGCACTGGTGACGCATCCGGTTCGTTTTGGACCAATGTTTTTTGTTGAAGTATAAGCTGAAGGACCAGATAGAATTAGTGGCTCTATCAACCGTTTTAAATGTAAATATTGATTGATAACAAATAGATTTACACTTATTTATTTATAGAATATAATTTACACTGTTTGTATAATAAAGTTTTAGTATTGATATAATATTGGAATATTTGAATGTGGATAGCTTGGCGACCGGGTTAAGACTATATTGTTAGTGCCGGCTTCAGGTATCTAGCAGAACCCTTTGTAGTTGAATCTTGAGATGCAAATTGCCTATGCGTCGTTGCAAATGTAATAATTTCTTAGAAAAATATGAGTGCAGCGTTGTCACGTCTAATTTGGCGTGAACACCAGTTTAATGGTTTAGTATGTTCATTAAAACCAGGTACTCTATCGTCATACTAAGTAAATCGTCTAATTTTAATATTAACAAATGTCAAAAAAACTACTCACTTTCTCAAACTTTGATAAATTTTTAAAATTATACTACTTGTCGTAAGGCCGTAATATTTCAGTAAGTTTCAGTAAGCCGAAAATAGTTCCATAAAAATCGGCTTAAATTTTTTTTTCAACAGTTAATTACGAGAAAACGGCTCGGTAGATTTTCACCTAAAACTAATCAGTATCATTCCCAACTAATATCTTTCGAACAGTTTTTGATTTTTTAAAATCGATTCGGTAGAATGAGCTTAAATGTGGACGAAAAGTTTAAAACGCTTTTTCAAATTACAAAGAAACGGCTCGGCAGATCGTCTCACAAAACTGACAAACTGTAGTGCTCATTGAGATACGTCGAATGGCTTTTAAATTTCTGAAATCGGTTCAGGCGTTTTTGAGCAAACGTCGATGAAAAGTCTAATTTTGACAAATGCCAAAAAAAACGATACCAATTTTAGCAAACTTTGACGATTTTTTAAAGCTAAACGAGTTGTCGTAGGGCGGTAATATCTTAGTATGATCTAGAAGACTATGATATCTACCGTCAAAAAAAATCATAAAAATCGCCGAATTTTTTTTTAACTTTATTACAAGAAAACGGCCCGGCCGATCTTCACCAAAAACTAATCAGCACGATTCCCAACCAATATCTTTCGAACGGTTTTTGAATTTTCAAAATCGATTCAGAATTGCGAGCTAAAACGTGGACGAAAAAGTTTTCACTTTTCTGCGATTTACAAAGAAACGGCTTGGATGATCGTTGCGCAAAGTTGATAAACGCTAGTCCTTAACGAGATACATCGAATGGCTTTTAAATTTTTGAAATCGGTCCAGCCATTTTTGAGAAAACGTCGATTTACGGCAAAAAATCTGTGCGTGCACACGCACACACACACACATACTTTTTCCAAATTTTGTCTCATTCGATTCAGAATGAAACGTCGAGAAAACATAAAATTAGCGAATCGGATTTGTTTATGAAAACAAACTTCTCTTTCGGGAAGTTAATAACTAAATTTATATCAAGCAAATATTATTTTGAAAATCAGCAAAAGGTAGATAACGTTAGAGTTGATAATTAATAAAAATAATTTAATGGTTTTTTATGTGCACAATTATCTTAGACTAAAAAAATATATCAAAATTTAATATGGCGTGTAATTTTTATTTCAGGTGGGATGGTGATATCATCTAACAAGTACGAAGTCGGAATGAGTTCTCGATCTTTATTCGAAACTCGAATGTCGGTGACAATTCGACGTCTACAACTCGAAGACGTTGGATCATACCGTTGCATTGCTAAAAATTCTTTGGGTGACGTAGAAAGCAATATCCGATTATATGGTAAGTTTGATATCAAACTGCTTATTTTGTACGTAGAATAGTATGCATATGTTTATGTTGCAGAAATTCCTGGGCCTACTCGCCGCGTTTTTCATCCCCGGTACGACGAAGAAGATTATCCTGACGGTTTACAGTTCGGCTCTGCCGAACGTGATCCCGATGACAACGACGAGCAGACTATTGCTGGAAGTAACCAAGCGATATCTTCCTCCGGTACGTCCGGCCGGGGAGGATCAGCTGCAGGACACTCTCCCGCTCGGGGCGGACAGCTCTCGGCGCAGAGCGTCCCGGGGCCTCTGTCGCCCTCGGTGACGGCGGACGCGTACACGACGCGAAATTCACACTCTCTGTTGATTTTCGCACTGGCGGTAGGAACGATGGCAGCCGCGCGGATTGCCGTATTTTGGTAACCATGTCTTTGTGATTTTAAAACTTCGTTGTTTTCATAAGCCGTAGCATACATTGTGGATTGAGGTGTCATCAGATAATCATAAGATTGTTCATAGAATACTACTGGTAGGTAAGCTAAATCAGCATCTTATTGATTTTTTAAATGTTATGGCAATTATAACAATTAAAGTGTTAGATTTAAATGTATCTGATATCGTTGTAATTTTTCTAATTATATCTATTGATCTGTGGAAAACAATTCGGAACGCAATATTAAAGTTCAGACATACAATGTATTCGTTTAGTACATAACTTGAATAAATAACAAATATGCGCTTCACACGGTCAAACTTTTCTCGTTTTGAAGTCACGTTGCAAATAAACTTATTTAAAAAAGACTTTTGGCGATATGTTGATGTTGCAACTAAAAAGTTAAATGGGCTTACTGAATATGAATGTGGTACTGAATAATACATTCTCTAACATGTAAGATAGAAAAATTACTTATGCATAAACCATTGAGCATATTTTCAAAATATATTTTTGAATGGCATAAAGAAACGCGGAAAGCAATATTGACATTCTTGATTATTATGACTTTTAAAAATAATACTTTTGAATTGAAGATTAATATAAATCAGTAACAACAAATAACGTTGGATCTAAGTTGGAAAAACTAAGAATTTTAATATGAATAATGTCAAGAAATTATTGTGCATGTACATGTCATAATAAATCTATTTTGATAATTGGGTCAGGCAAGAATTTTAAAAATGAAGTATATGTTGTTTTATCTTCATATCTACGGTTTCATATATTATTTACAAGACTAGATCAGATGCTAATTCTAAGACAAACTCACTCTACAATTATTTTCGACTTATGGAAGCAAAAATCTTTAAGAAAGCCAAAAGCAAGCAGCGTTGGTGATCGGTATCAAAGGGTTCAAAATAGAAAGGTATTAATAAAAACTATAATAGAAAAATATTTAGTTTTTTCTTTTTATATAGCGTAAATCAATATTTTTCAGGCAAATTTAATTTTTTGAAAAGAATGACTCGTTTAACGTATTTTTTTCTCGTTCATAATAACATCACTACTTCTTTGTTACCTATTATTTTTTTCAATAAGTCTAAATAATTTTTATTACTTAATTTAACAACATAAGTTAAACAATTGTTCAATTGTTTTTCTTTCAAGAATTTTGAAACAAATCATAAAGCACAGCATTTAAAATGAAATATTTGACATGATCGATACGTCTTTTTGACGTCGACTATTTTTTAAGTCTGAGTTGGTACATATATATATATATATATATATATATATATATATATATATATATATATATATTGTGTATTTTTATATCGCTTGTCAAACTGCCCGATACCGATTACCATGTGTAGTGACAATAAAAAGATCACTAATTTTTGTGTAACAATTAATATTCGCTTAACTAACGTAGGTTTGCTCCCCGTGTACCTTTTGTAATTCTTTTTTTTTAATAATTCCACGTTCCAGTAAGATTTAATATGATTAATATAATATAAAACGGTGTGATGTGTTTACAAAAATTGTGTGAGATTTATATTTTGTAAAAGAAAAATTTTAGAAGGAGTTTTTACGTAGAAACGAAAATTGCTGTGCAATCGAGAATATGCATACACGAAAAAAAATGTAAATGATTCATTACTTTGATTAAGCATTAGTGCATATTTTGTTAATATGTATATTATATAATAATCAAAGCTATAGAAAATATAATTTTAGGGCTGTGATGTTTTGATTATAATTTGCTTACATAGCGCGTTCCATAATAAATATTTTGATTTATTTACCACCCAAAAGCATTTCAAGAGAAAGCTAAAAGTAATTGACCATGGACTATATTTCTGAATATTATTGCATACATTTTGTATGACTTTTCACAGGCAATTACAATGGGGCAGAGGGGCGCACAAAGGTCTTATTTGACTTGGAGCAATTATATTGTTAAAACCAAACCAACTATATCAAATTAAATAACACATATCAAACAGACTATGTTTAGTAAAAATCCCAACTAATTCATAATTGTAAAAATGTGTTTTTGCTGTTTTTCAAAATTTATAACCGATATCGACGTCGTGAAAATCAAGCATTTAATTATTGTTATTAAATAATTCCTAATTTGACTTGTTTTTTAGATATCGGTGGTGGATCTTTTTACTCGTGGATTTTTAATCTCCGCTCTACGGAATATTGACATTCCGTCACTTAAGACACAATACGTTAACTTTTACTGAATTGAAAATTAATATTTTCATAAGATCTAAGAAGGGACATATTTTTTAATGTTTATATGTTCACATATAATTACCACCACAAACGATTTTGTGATTCAAGTCTCATTTATTTTGGAACGCGCTTAGCACTTAGCATAAAAAAAATGAAGATGTATTCTGAAGTATTTTATTCATTTGGCAAAAGCTGCTATACTATGTTTTATGTTATTTTTCTCGGATGCATATTCTCTGGTACAGTCTAGGCATAGATAGGTATTCCTGCGTCCGGGGTACCAGTATGAGACATAAATCAATGTAGTTGAAAAAGCAAAATTATTATAATGTTAAATAAATTTTATATCATAAATTAATCTAACTTAAATATATTATAAGAAATTGTGAATATAATTAATATGAAGAATGTAGGGCGTATATTTATTATATATTATTTGCGCTGTGAGTATGAGGATGAGGTTCGATTTTGAGGTGGAAGATAGGAAACCTTACTGATTATGTTAAATAATAATTTAATAGACATGTATTATTTGTGTGCTTATCAAAATTTTCTTTTAATAAAAATATCAATTTCATTTATATAGTATTTGTTTACAATAAGATAAATTCGAGGAGTTTACATTTAGTTTTAATTACTAGTTTTTTTATATTTTTTTGTATTTATATATTTCTTTCGTTCAATTTACGTAATTTATTTTATAACAGTTGTAATATAAATCCAAATAACAAAAAATGCAAAAGTATCCTAGTAATTCTGATAAGCACAATTATAAGGAAAAGCACGTTTCGATCAGAATTGAACCTACTTAAACATACATGAAAATTTATTTCTATAATCAAGGAGAGAACACTTTCTTTTATATTACGATAGTAGACTATGAAATGATATATGTATGCGTTATTTTTGAAATCATATTTTAAATAATAAATAAAAAATATAGATCTATATATGTATAATAACGAAATGTGTGTTGTGGGCATTCGAATTCTTTATATGTGTTTTATGAAAATATTTTACTTATATCATTGCACCACTTCGTTATTCTGTTTATATATGTAATATGTATATATATAATCTATATATTTCTGTACATAAGGTACAAATACTCAGAAAATAGTCTTTAGTACCAAAGGTGTAAAATAAGTATTTATGGAAATAGCCAAAAGGGTAGTAGGTACTTTTAGGTAATCATGCTTAATTAGTTATGCTTATGTTTGATTATTCAAATTATTTAAATTATTTATTTATTACAGTATTGTAAATCATCTTTATTATTTCGAGTTATCCAAAAAACAGTGCCGTTTTTGCTAAATCGGCACTTTTCATCATTCCCAGCCATATAAGGCGATTTAAATATTGTTTGACCAATTACAGTCAATACTTTGAAAATTCTTTTATGTATAGAAATGCCATCTGGTATTGTCAAAGAATCAGAAATATGCAACTAAATAAGAAAAAAACGTTTCAAGTTACTTTATCCCATAAATTAAAAAATAAATATTTGTGAATAATGAAAGAAGTGCCCGCGAATTTTGTTTGAATATAAACGGCCCTGTTTTCAGAAAAATATGTTGATGTGAATTGAGAATGGACAATGCAATATGTGTTTGATGTTTAATACTGATTTGATTTCAATACTCGGGTTGATTTACTGAAATTTAATTTTCGACATATTATTGCTCATAATCAAATTATGAGCATTGGTAATTATTATAATAAAATTGTGAACATTATTGTCATGATTAATGGTGAAATATCAAGTATTAAATATCTCTTCAGCTTAACATTCAATATATTTATGATATAAATATTCATATTTTTCGCATGTGCTACTGTTTTCTAAATTTATATAATAAATTGTGCCAAATATTCTAGCAAGTAAAACATAAGCATAACTCTAATTATATCGTTTAAGTATATATGGATGAATGTGAAGTTTTATTATTCTGCATCGTCAACAGCGTTTTCCACAATTGCCGTTTTTTATGGTATTTTTCATTCCTGATTTGTAATAAATCATAATTGCTAGGCTAGAATAGGCATTCCTTATTTCATTTCGTTATATTAATTATTAACTTTTACATTCAATTAGTTGTAAATATTTTAATCAATTTAATTGTTTAATAATCATTACAAATGTTTTATGTTTTTTACAAATACTGGGAAATTAAAAAAAAAAACTATACTACATTCGTACTAAAGGTTGACCTGTGGCTAGATAATATGGCTTGGACAGGTAATTAATGCTTGAAATTATATACATATATATATAATATTAATTGGATATATTTTGACTTGACTCCCTTATTAAATTGCGGAACTATAAGTCTAGTTTGAAGCTAGATAAATCTGAGTATTAATATAAATATCAGTGATCCTATAAAAGTTGTGAAAACTCAGCGTAATAATACTAATATATCAATGGTGCACTATTACAAATTGCCGTTTAAATTTACTTAAGCTAAACTATGAATAGATTTCTTTTTGGATAATCATGACCTCTCATATTACTACTCATTTATTGTGAGACAAGATTTTACATACTATATATGTATAATATAACAGGAATGTACCCTTTACTGCTAAAGTATCGACCTGTTTTAAGTTGCCAAGACCAAATTGGCAAAATTATTGCGGACATCTTTTGTAATGAATTGAAATAAATTTGTACGAAAAAAACGCGTCAAAATATTTAAAATACTATATTGACAAATCCAAAGAATTTTGGATATTATTTATT